AACAGGAAAGTCTGACCACATGTCTCTGAAAATGTTGATGTTAAATATAAGTGACATTTAGAAACTGATTATCTGCCTTTTGATTTGTAAGACGTTCCTCAACGGAATGCTCTGGATTAAAGCAGCAAATTTAGTTCACACAGAAACAAAAATCGGTGTATAAACATTGCACTTATTCAAAAAATACCTTACCCTTACTCCTTCAGCTCGTTTTCCTTGTTGCTACCAGAACCAGGTCTTAGTAAAAACTGTAACGTCATCTTATTTTTCTGTGTCCTTCCACCATCTCATCAGTTAGCTATTTCACAACTTCTGACCACTTCATAATCCTCAGTTTTAACTTGAGCTCTTTCAGTGTGTTGCACTGTTGCAAGAAAACCGGCTTCTTTTTCCACATCTGTCCCACCCTTAGTCAAGTATCAGACTAAATAACAGTGCTAAATAATGTAAGTACAAAATCTTCCATGAAGGTCTTAGTTAGCAGGCTAGCTGTACCGGTTATAAATATCTGCCTCAAACAGATGCAAGTATGGATCATAAACATAACAATTTTCTGAAATAAAACATTGTACAAGGCTTTGTTTCATTACCAGAAGTGCAATTATCTGAGATAGACAATTTCTGCTTTGGCTGCATTCCCTGTCTGCTGGAGAGGTAACTCGCTTTTAGGGATATACAGTGAAACAGGTGCAAAAGAAGACACGAAAATTGTATGCAGATACATCACTAGAGATGTTGGATGGTATGATTCACATTTGTTTCCTGGAGATGTTTAAAAACTTTCGGAAAATGTTATGATAAAGCAGACAGAAGTGTTCTCTGGCTAAACAAGTGACTGGCCCAGAAAAGTCTAAGATTTGTAGCACACAAAGTGTGAAATGGAGGATTGTGCCACCTTAGCCAAGTTAAATTCAGTCTTTTGCCAAGTCTTTGAAGATGATCTTGAAGGACAGGATGGAAAAGTCATTAAAAACAAAAGCAATGAAAGAAAAGAAAAGAAAACCCAAACCGAATAACCGCAAGTATTCACTACATGACCCTAGACACACAGTAATATTACCTACTGGCTCAGATGCTAAGGGTCATGTTCAGACCACATAAAATACAATTTAAAAATATAAACCAATAACATGAGATTAATGGAGATAGAATCTCATTTAAAAAGAATAAGGAGAGAGAGAAGCAAAAGGTGTGGGATGTGTGACAAGGTTTAAAAAATTTAAAGATTACTGTTTTCCTAGTTTGTTACTAGGAAACAATGGCATGAAAACCCCAAATCCAGAAATCATACATATATCTAAATTTTACATCACCAGTGAATTAACTTAATCCCACACTTGCCCTTAGCTTTGGTGCTGTCCTTACTAGACATGCCCACCCTGAATACTTTGTCTTACTGTATTAAATCACACAAACATTGGTTTCATTTTTCATAGAATCATAGAATCAGTTAGGTTGGAAAAGACCTTTAAGATCATCAAGTCCAATCCTTATCAGTATTCGCCATTCTTTTTTTTTTTTTTTTTTTCCACAGAGAAGCAAAATGGTCACCATCATTCAGGAAACCGGTGGTAGCAATGGAAACAGAAGCCCTGGGGATCAGGTTTAACCCAGCTATGAAAGGCAGGATGGAAGTACTCATCACACCTTGACTCATTCTTATCCTGTATTAAATCACAGTATAGCTAAATCATAGCCAGAGTTTAAACTTTGGAGAGGGACACACACCAGTGTAGTCTTCTAGTACATCTTAGAATACTGTTGCCTATTGCACATCTTCCTTTTAAAAATGACTGCAGACAAACCTGCTAAGTATGACTGCAATGCAACCAGCATTCTGACTGATGACAAAGGCCAGAGGCATTGGAGAAAATAAAAAGATTTTTTCAACTTATGATATTTAAGAAGTATACAGAGAAATGCCCTAATCCTCCTAAGAAATTTTCACTTAATTCCATAGTCTCTTATTCATTGAAGTTTCAAAATTATGAAAATGATACACTTCCTAGGCAGGTGGAAAGAAAAGGAAGGCTTTAAAGATATGTATACTCTGCCATCAAAAAGAGAAGTGCATCACTATATGTGAATAATATTAATCTCAGACCTATGTTAGGTACTGGCTATACCTTAGAAATAATAGCATGGACTTCATCCTAGGTCTACTGCCCAGGATCTCAAGGGAGTTGAGATCAGCTCCCCCTGACACATTTCCATGGTTTTACTATGATTGGTATCTGAACTAGTAAGATTAAAAGCTGTACGGGAATGTCTCTGCAGGCTGCAGTACCTACAGTTGAAGCTCAGTCATGCTCTGTTGATCTGCAAGCTAAGATCTTTCCACATAAAGCAGCAACTGGAGTTTACAGAAATGAACAAGATTACACTCCATATTACACACCAAAATAAAAAAATAAATACAGTGAAACTGCAATTAAATAAATATTGGAATGGAAACTGATCAGTGAGGTATCAAAACTGTTCTCTTAACTGCCTTTCAAAAGAAAATTGAGGAACAGCTAGTGATTTGAAAAAAACTCCTCTCCAAATCCACTTTCTCCGGTTCATCTCCAAGCATCATCTCAGTCTGAAAATGTAGGAAAAAATTGTAAGCACTGTGGTATAAATTTTCTAGGGCCTCTGGAACCACCTGCAGGATTGACTTTGACTTAGGACCTATGAAATAAAGGTGCTTTTTGAGGCAAATACCTTTATACAGCAAAAATTGGTTCATTTCCTTTATTTTAAACTTATCAGTCACAGTCATATTTCTGATATCCAAATCATGCTCTTTTTCTGCTGCTACACTCTCCTGGTTTCATTGTCATACAGCTGTTCTTTTTTTGTATCTCCCATTCCTGTAGTGCACTGCTGCACAGACCTTTGCTTCCCTCTTCCATCCCTTTCATCATCTTAAAGTATCTCTTTTTTGAAACAAAATGCAGATGTAATATTCATAGATAATACTCTATAAGTAAAGGTTCTGTACCAGTGCTGTAGCCAGGTAGGTAAGAAATAAAGCAACTAGGGACCAGGACACCTGCAAAAAAACCACTGAAAATTATTTATTTACTCACCTAAACAAAGAAAACAAATAATGAAATATTTGGGTCTCAAAATTCATTTTCAGTAAAAAAAAATAAATTAAACTAGGGTGGATTTTGAACAATATTGTCACTGCCCCTAGCTTCTGAATTTTTATCAAAATATGAAAACTGTAAATAAAAACAAGTATTAACCCAGGTCTTACCCAAACATTACCTAATTTTCCAAAATTAGCTCCCCAGAGTTGCAGCAACATTTCTGTGAGTTTTTGGTGGGATTTTGAGGGGCTTGAAAAGCTATTAGAAATTGTAATTAGCTCTAGCATCACCTTCCTCTTTTCAGTCCATTCCTCTTTTCAGTCCATTCCTTTTTTAATTTTTATTCTTTTTAACAGAAGCTTCTGGCTTTTACTGTAACAGTAATTTCACAACAATGTTTTCAAAACAAGTATTTCACTAACTAGTGAGAGGAGCTGGTTAGCCAAAGTATGAAGATCTCTATTCTTCTATTTATATCTCCTAAAGTCAGGAGCCTGACTGTAAGCTGGTCTTTTACCTCTGATATTTCCTAGGTGTGTCCACAGCCAGATTAAAAATATTTGCTGGACCAGGCAGATTTATCCACAGTTCAGCCAAAGTTCTTAATCAGATTGAATTTTCTCTTGTCCTGGTCCCTTTAATTCTCTCATTATTGTCTGCCTATATCTTAACTTGAAACATCAACAATTCATCTTCTCTTCCAAACCTGGAAACAGCATCTCATTCCCGCATTTAAAATCCTTACATCCTTTTTCTGCAGCTAATACAAAACCTGTCTGCACCTTCAAAGTTCTCAGGTCTATAGAAACTTTCTGTGCCTATTCTATACGTAGCTCCCATCAACATCAGATGGCAGATTGTTTTCTATCCTCCTTCCATATCTTATGTCAGATAATATAATGTCCCAGTCTTCTTGAGTTTAATGCCTATGGTTTGAATCTTTCACTTCAAATGATTTTCTCTACCTGACGTTCTAAATCCTACTTAAAACCCCATTTTTTCTACCACTCTTTCAATTCCACAGTCACAAATTCAAGCTGACCATGTCCAAATGTATTATTTTTAATTTGAAACTTTCTTACTGTATTCACCTCTTCAGTTATCATCATCTCATTTTACTTCCCCAGAATAACTAGTTTTAGTTAAGGATCTTTTCCCAGGGTCACAGTGGAAGATATAGTCCATATTTAGTTTCATTTGTAATGATACCAAACTCTGTACACAGAAAATGGAAGCTTAACTCTAGGTAAGGGAAACATGCAATTCTGTAGTAAAGCAAAAAAGTGTGATTATTGAGTTCTCACAGTTTAATTGGAAGTCTTGTGACATTTGACATTCTTTCTCAAAGTTCTAGCTCTCAAAGGTATTTGATTACATAAGACTTTTCTTTTTGTTTTTCTTTTTAAATTTGTTTCTGGTGGACTTCGACAAGGAAATCATACAAATCTTATTTAGACAGCATATGACTCCTAGCTCAAAGCCAACAATATCTAACCTTTATGTACATTAAAAATAGCTTAGAAATATGAGCAGAGTGAAGTTGAAAGGCTTAGCGAGCAAAAAAGCAGATTAAAAAAAAGTCAGATTTATTTAAAAGTATTTTTAGCTATGCTGATAATTTTGGTTGTATGACTCATACCTTGGGAAACCTTTGAGATGGTAATAGTCAAAGATAGGTATCTTCTGAGTCAAGAAATCAGGCACAACAAATCTATTCACTAAAAACCTCAAGACTGAGTCTACACACATCTGCAGTCTTCCATAGTAGAATGACATGAAGTATAGATCCTGCAAGGGAGGTGGGCCCTAACCCCTGGCCTTACAGCCCTTTTACTTGTTCCCAGGCTACCTCAATGCTCCACAGAGGCTGATATTTATGAGTCCCCCGCTCACAGGCAGAGTGGCCCCTCCAGCACTCACCACCGGCCGGTGCACATCCCAGAACGCTCGCTCCTGGCTGTCTAGAATCTTCCTCTCTATCTTGTCTCTCTTCTTGTCGACTCTGTCAATGTTATAGGATATTTAAAACAGTGTTAATTTTAAACACAAGAAGTGTCCAATCACTTTTCCCTCCCCTTCTCTCTTCAAAAAGCATGCAAAACCAAAGCCCCTTGTCTCCAAAGGAACTTACTTTGCTTGTGCTTCAGCTTGCATAAAAATAAACTCCCATTTCCGAGCAAATGCTCGCTGTAGCCTGGCCAAACTCTCCTGAAAATATATTACAATTTTAGTGGGTTAGGTTGTAAGTTATTTACTATTTAATAGCTTTTATCTTCTTATCTTTCCCTCCTCCCCTCACTGTTGCCCCACTCCCCCCCAAGATGTAATACAAATCATGATATCTGTGCCAGTGTAAATATACTTTACTTATCTGATACAAAGTCTTTACTTGACACCAAATGGCATGGAATACTAGATCTATCTACTTTTGAATGGCCCAACTATTTTAGTTTTGAAACT